CACGGGGACTGGGACGCCGCCGCGGCGCTGCCGCCGCTGCCGCCCCGCGAGGACGCGGCGCGCGTGGCCCGCTTCGTGACGCACGTCTGCGACTGGGGCGCACTGGCCACCCTCTCCACGGACCAGGCGGTGCGCGGCTGGGCCTTCGCCGACGTCCTCTCGCTCAGCGACGGGCCCCCCGGCGCGGGCAGCGGCGTGCCCTACTTCTACCTGAGCCCGCTGCAGCAGTCCGTGGGCAACCTGCAGGTGAGCGGGCGGCGACAGGGCCAGCCTTTCTTTCGGTCGCCGAAATTCTGCTCGGGGACGGAGGACGGGGCAACCAGAGGGAAGACTTTGCTCGCGGCCCACAGCCCTGCCTCTTCTCTCCCGCGCTGGCCGGGCGGGCTTTGCAGCCTTCTGACTGTTGGGCAACTCAGTGCCTGGAATTTCACGCACGCCCCCGCCTCCGGGTTGAATTCTTTGCCCGTGTCTACTTGGAGGACTTCGCATCCCTGACTCGTCCTGGAGCACGGCTGCGCGTGTTATTAAAAGTCTTACAGGGCTTGCCCTTCCTAGGAATTTTCCTGTCAGCAGCAGGAAGCTAACATACAACATCGTGAGTGATTAATGCAGCCTTTAGGCCCCCCGTGCGCATGACCTTCCCTGGTTAGCAGCAGCACGGAGTTGGGTCTGGGTGCTCATCCTGTGCCCACCTTTTGTGGCAGGGCCAGGTTTACAACTCTGGTGGACCTCTGCTGTCCCGAGAGTGGTGTGACCGCTGCGCAGCGCACTGAGTCCAGCAGTGGGCTTCGGATGAAGAACTGGAGGCATGAGACCGGTTAAATAACCTGCCCAGAGCCAGTAGCCAAACTGGAATCTTAAGCGAGGTCTGTCTGCCGTCAAAATACAGGACACAGAATGGTGGCGCACGAGCTGCCCGTGTCCCTCGGGCCAGTTGTCTTTGGTCCACGGAGTTCTGTTTGGTTTTTAACAAATTTGAGTTACAGTAGTCCCCCCCCCTCCCCCCCGGCCCTTATCCCTGGTTCCATTTCAGCGTTTCAGCTACCTGAAGTCAACTGCATTCCAGAAGCACAAGATCCTTCTGAGGGGTTGTCTTACAGTCTAGTAGCCTAGTGCTAGGTTGCAAAAGCCGCCCCATGTCATCTCGTCATGTGGGCATTTGATCATCTCTCATCATCCTCGGAGGACGAGTGAGTACAGGACAAGAAGATATTTGGAGAGAGCACATCCACATAACCTTTATTACGGTATAATTGTACCGTTCTATTTGTTATTGTTGCTAATCTCTTACTATGACTAATTTATAAATCGAACTTTGTCACAGGTGTGTGTGTGTGTGTGTGTGTGTGTGTGTGTGTGTGTAGAAGAAGACATATGAGGTTCGGTACTGTCCAGGGTTTCAGGCAGGCATCCACTGGGGGTCTTGGGTTGTATCCCCCCGTGGGTAACGGGGGGGGGGGGGACTATTGTAGCTACCGCCATTCAAAAATTGAGATTTCAATTACAGATCTCAATGTTTAACTTCTTGGAAGATCCGTGGCCCTGGGGGCTTGAATTCTTTGAGCAAAACCAGAAGCAGCTGCCTCCTTTTAAGGCACAGACACCTCTGTTCACCCTCCCCTTACTCCCAGCCCCCTCCACCCTCTTAGGCATTTGCCCAAAGGAAGCTCATTCTGTTCAATCAGTGACGCTCAACCTTGGCTGCAAACACAGTCACCTGGGAAGACTTTTAAAAATATCGTGCCGAGGGATTTTATTAAAAAAAAAACAACTCCCCATTCCCTCCCTGATGCTTCTCATGAGGGAGAGGGGATGGAGAACAACTACTGCCCACGACCCTATTTAAACTCGTGCGGATATGGTCATCTGCGTTGCAGGAAGGAGGAAAAGTAAGATGTACAGGGACTGGACAGATGTCAGTGACAGACGTCACTGGTGGGTGGCCAGCCACTGATGACTTCCAGGTAGAACTCCAGCTCAGGTCTTTGACAGATCTAGGGACACAGTGTAAGGAACCTATCCAGGATTTCAGGTATCCATGATGGCAGTGAAAAGGTGTGGCCACATCAGAATGAGTCTGACTCGTATTCAATCAGTTAACCAGTCAGACTGGTTTATAGTTTCTGCTTTTCCTCCCACCTCTGCCTCCTGTCTTCTCCCTGTCACCCAACCCACCCGATTACATGCACACAATGCCACTCAGCATTTCCCTCTGCCCAGAAGCCTTCAACAACAACCGACTGCCTAGAGCTGCGTAAGGTTCACTTGGGATGTTTGTTAAAAATACGAACACCGGGGCTGGGACTCGAGCCCAGAAGTCAGCATTTTAACAAGCTCTCCAGGCAGCTCATTCTTGGAAAGCACAGACAGGCATTGACCTTACAGAATACAATTCTGACTCTTTAGCTTGGAGTTGAGCCCCCCACCCCACCCCCATCCCACCAAAGCCTCTCTTTCAGGTAGATTGGGTTTCTCATTACAGTCATGTCCCACATTTTCCCAGTTCTGTTTCTGCAATGCCCTTTACCTTTAATACATCATCCCACTTCTGTCCCGATTTTGAAAATCTTCTGAGGCTCCCTGTACTGTCCATATCATTCCAGGCTATGCTGACATCTCCTTACCCTAAACTGTACTGTTCACTTGGCGATTAGCTATACGCTGCCTTCTGATCTCTTCTGTGTCATTTTGCATTTATTTAAGTTTTGTTTATGTCTGACTTTACAACCAGATTATAAAGTCACAGAGAAAGGACTTTTTTTTTTTTCCTCCTATGGCGCCTTGCCTAATAGTGTATAGACAGTGAATGTTGGGCGAAATGATTTCAAGGAGTTCCCTTTATAACCAGTGTTGTGATGGGTCACCATGAGATGGCAGAATTTTCCACACAAGCTGTTGAAAGCGCTAAATGCAACGTGTGAATTTTGCTGTAATCTGTCAGCAGTGTCTTTCACGAAGCTGATTTCTGAATAAGAAAGAATTGAGAATTTTGCCTGCTTCGCTTTTTGAGTCTAAGTGTTCTTCTTTTACTGCTGAAACAGGAATGAACAACTTCTCCAGTTTTGAAATCACATGACAATTTCTGCTAGCATAAGATAACCAAAAAACATGATTCAGCTACTTTCTTGCTTAAACCATACAATTAGCTAGTTGGACAACTGTGCTATTTTTATGCACTAGTTTCGTATTAGAGTCTAAGCCGTTAGACCTTTCAGTGAAAACTCTAGACCAGCCTTGTATTTGGGTGATCCTGTAATTGTAATTTCTCTGGTTAATATGAAACAGCTTAAAGGCTTAAGAAAAAAGAGTGTTAAAATAATTCTTACTGAGTTAATTTTAAATCTGAAACCCTACCCCCTGCTTTTTGGGAGGAAAGGCCAAGATCAGTCTCTATCCAACAGGTGATTTTCTCAAGTGGTCAGTGGTGTTTTACACCTCATTGTTTCATGGAGGAATGCTCAGCTCTAGGGACAGTGTATATATAACTTGTGACATTTATTACCTCTCCAGAGACAATATTTCATGTGGGAGTATCTTTATTTTCTCTCTGCAGGAGAATCCACATGCTACCCTGACCATGTCTTTGGCACAGACTAACTTCTGCAGGAAACAGGGATTTGATCCCCAAAGTCCCCTCTGTGCTCACATAATGCTGTCAGGAACTGTTACCAAGGTGAGTGGTTATCCCACCAGAACACAGACAGGTTTTAGAAGAGTATCACCTGAGGGGCCTGGGGGTGCTCAGTCGGTTAAGCGTCCGATTCTTGATATCGGCTCGGGTCATGATCGCGAGATTGCAGTCATGAGATCGAGCCCCGAGTCGAGCTCTACGCACAGGGTGGAGTCTGCTTGGGATTCTCTCTCTCCCTCTCTCTCTGCCCCTCCCCTGCTCGTGCTCCCTCTCTCTCTCAAAATAAGTAAATAAATTTAAAAAAAGCATCATCTATTAACAATGAAAGGAGATATTTTAAGAATAAAATGAAAATGATTTGTGATTGAGATAATATGCGATTTCATGAAAACTAAAGACTTAAATCAGTTCATTTCGTATAGGTGTTCGATAAGGTATTTACGCAGAAAGTGAACTATTGTTTGAAGCTGAATGGATGTAGCTCTGTAAGGTGCATCTGCTCAACCAGAGGTCTCTGCTCCTGGCCATGCTGTTCACTGCACAATATTTCCCACGTGTGGGTTCCTTGTCTCCATATTGTCACAGTGGCTTACGGCAGAGAGCCTACCAAGTGAGCGAGGAGAGGGGTGCCCGTTACTGGAGGCCAGACGCGGGTTTAGACAGTGGGGTGATTGCTGCAGGGCAGAGGGCAAGGTGTCCTAGCGCTGATCTGATTGCCGAACCCGCACATTTGCTTTTCGACGTTGTCAGCCACGCTGACCTCAGACATGTTTGATTTATGGTCTGGACGTTCCGTGTGGGCGCATCTCTGTGGCTGCATTTCACCAGAGAAAGGAGGGGCGGCAAACACTCTTTGAGTTCCATGGTGCTTCTTTGAAAGACTTTTATCTTTTGTGAACTTGCGTCTTCGTGTTTAAGATGGCTTGTCCTGGGGTACGTGTGCTGACGTTTTATCACGTGCCCCGTGCCGGGTACTCTGACGGCTCCAAATGACCACTCGACCGCGAAAGCTGGTGCTGGTGATGGGTTCCCACTTCAGTAAATCTCTTACCGCCAACACCTGGACTCTGTTGTTTTCTGCTTTTCTGCGTGCTTCCTTCGTTTTCTCTTGATTCCTTAAGTCGAAGATCAGGATTTATAACTAAATGAGCGCTTTAGGATTTGTAGAAGAATCACACATCCTTAACGGGGTTGCGGCCATGAGTCGTTTACATCACGTGTGTCCTTTAGGTGAATGAATCAGAAATGGACTTTGCCAGGCAGTCGCTGTTCGTCCGACACCCTGAGATGAAAACGTGGCCCTCCAGCCACAATTGGTTCTTTGCGAAGTTGAATATAACCAACATCTGGGTCCTGGACTACTTCGGTGGACCCAAAATAGTGACACCCGAAGAATATTATAATGTCACATTTCAGTAAGTATTTACACAGCTTTCTTCTTTCTAATGTTGCCACTTTTATTTGCGGTCCTCAATCTTTTAAAGCCAGGGGGCTCTTAACTCTTTCTTCCACCAGGGGACCCTTTGGCAAGCTGGGAAAGCCTCTGATCCCCCCTCAGAATATTTTTTAGGAGTATAATATACATTGGAAATACAATGGAAACCAACTATATTGTATTGAATGTAATGTATTGAATGTATTAAAATACATTTATAAAACAAGTTAATTCATACATTATATGAATATAATGTAATGTATTGAAATGGATTGAAATACATTTATAAAAATATTTTTTAAACGTGTGGTATAGTAACATGTTGACTTTTAAAAAACATGTTGACTTTTTAGTGAACATATTAAATAAGACTTAGTAGCAAGTCTATAATGTTACTGTCCTTTCTGAGTAGTGAGGGCTGAATTAATTTAAGACATCTGCAACAGCTCTAACATGATGTGAAAGTATCTGTGGGTTCTTTATTTCTGTTGATGACAGTCACAGATACGCTGTCACCACCGGGGTTTATTGCCCACATTCATCATTGAAGGAAATGATAAATTTCAGGTAGAGCTTAATGAAAACCTCTCTTTTCCATCCAAGTTCACAGAGCCCTGAACTCTGCCTATAGGCTTGGACACCAGGTTGAGAACTTGTTTGTCTGTTTTGTTGTTGTTTTTTTAATGTTTTTATTTATTTTTGAGAGAGAGAGAGAGACAGAGGTCACAAGCGGGGGAGGGGCAGAGAGAGAGGGAGACCCAGAATCTGAAGCAGGCTCCAGGCTCTGAGGTGTCAGTGCAGAGCCTGATGTGGGGCTTGAACCCACAAACTGTGAGATCATGACCTGAGCTGAAGTCGGACGCTCAGTCGACTGAGCCACCCAGGCGCCCCTGGGACCTTGTTTTAAGGCTATGTTTTGGGGCCCTGGTTGGAGCCCAGTTCTGGCCCCTGATGGCATTTTCCCATGAGCACCAGACTTCGGCACTTCTGGACTATGAATGGTACACATCTGAGTCTGAGCATGCGGTCCTGCGCCCATCGATCTCAGTGCTGTGAATGCTGGGGGGCCGTGTGGGACACCCACCAGGAAGTGGACACTTGGGGGTGAGAAGGTTGCCACCCAAGGGGCCCTGGGAAAGAACAAAGACGAAAATAGCCTGGAAATGGGAAAAGAACAGGAAAAAGGGGTGTGATCAGATCCTCTGACATTAGGTCAGGGTTCAAATGAAGGAATACAGAGGACTGGGACTTTTCCCGGGTGACACGGGTCACTGGCATAGCTGACATCCTCGAGGCCCAACAGCCAGTGATCATGGCAGCAGTGATAGCAGCTGGGGCTCGGTGGGCGCCGTTCGGGCTGCCGTGAACCGCCTGCTTTCTCCCCACCAGACGTTCGGTAGTGTTTCTCCTCGTCTGGAAGGTGGAGAGCTGGAGCCCCGAAGAGTAAGTCTGATGGCCAGTATGTGCTGGTGCCTGGACCGAGACCCTGGCATTCTAGCCCCGGGGCCCCCACCTTGCTTCTGCCCACGGAGATCCACTGTGCCTCTGGTCCCCTCACTGCTGGCTGGCTGGGCTCCTCGCCCGGTGTCAGCCATGTGACGCACTTCTGCTGTAATGACTGGCTGCTGTTTGCAGAGATTAGGGTGACGATGCTAAGTTAGACCCGTAGGTCATGGTCATTTGGGGGCTTCATTCTCAGTGTTTCTTTATTTTGTCTCTTACTCTGTTGTAGAACAGTTCCACATTGGAGCGCTGACTTCCCGTCACCCTTGTAAATTTCTTTACGGCAAAGCTCGGGCTTTATTTATTTAGTCAATCAATCCCAGACAGGGCCTTAGGACAGCGCATGGCCCAGAATAGTTGTGTAGTGAACACTGGCTACTTGTCAGGCTGATAATTTGAGACAAAGATCCTCAGCTCCTTTGAGTAAAGAATCCGGCAGTGGTGTTTATGTTGCTTCTGTATACGCAGGAGAAGAGGCACAGGCCAGTGATTCTCTTCCGGACCCACAAAACCACCTGGCTTTATAGGAATACAGACACAGCAGTGCCAGCATCATGACCAGGCAGTGAATTATCCAGTAAGCTGGTTAAAGTTTACTTCTGTAAGACATGACCATCTCTCATGTACAGTCGTTTTTGCATAAATGACGTGCCCGAGGGCAGTGCTTGCTTTAATAACAAAAATGAGCTTGCCCCTGTTGAATAAGTGAGTGAAATAGATAAATTTGAGGCTCCCATTTTATTTCACAGACGAGTGAGCTTTGTCTGCGGCTCAGAGAAAAGACGGAGCACTATCCTGTCCTTGGGAGAGGAGGACCAAAGGCTAGACCAGAGTCGGACCCCTTCTAGGGCAGGACACCCGAAATCCTAGAGATAGACACGTCTGACTGCTAGTTGTCCATTTCGGAGTCCGGGAGTGGGCCCCTCATCATCCTACCCACCTCGTTTGCCCGTAGCCCAGGAGAGGGTAATGTCCGTGAGGGCCAAGAGCCTGCACGCTCTGAGGGAACCGCTCCCAGGGGCCTCGTGGCTTTCTGGAACTTTACAGAGTGGCTGGCTTGCGCAGCTCAGTTTTGGAAGATGTTACTTCTCCAGATGCCATAAAGCCTCAGCATTTGAAGTCCGTTGCATTCTGGTGGAGTCTTAAGAGAGCTTCGGTACAAGTGCCACTTAGTAGGGCTCACGTGGGGATTGACTGAATCTGGTGTGGCTCATTGGACTGTTGGGTCCAGACCACGAACATATTTGCACGAGTGGACCGGAAGGTTCTGCTGCCACACGGCGCATCTGCGGGCGTCCCTGAGTGGGCGGTTCTCAGGGGTCTCAGCAGTCACCTCCTGTCACCGTTGAGCCTGAGCTGCAGGGTGCTCACCCCAGGGGCCCCCGCCCCCCCCTCTGGTGCTCCCGAAGGTTCCCCAGCACAGGCACAGGGAGTAGGAGGCTGTAAGCCACCGTCTGGCCCGGTCTCCCTCACCTGGACGTGGTTTCCTGGTAGCTGTGGCCAGACTGCGGCAGGAAAGGCGGGTCCAGGTCGCCTCCCCGGCTAAACTCAGTGTCGTGGGAAACTTGGCTGATTCCCTCCTGTCCTCAAACGCTGTTGTCTTTTAAGTGAGCTGTCAGGTGTTCTTGGTGCTCATCTGTGCTTCATCCCGGCGGCGCTTCCTGGAGCGTGCGGCACCGCACTCGGAGGCGAGGGGTGCTGGCTAAAATGAAGATTCCAGGGCCCGACCCTACACGTGCTGATACCAGAACTCCAGAGCAAGCCCAGGCGACTCTTGGGTACCTGAAGCGGCTGAAATTAGCTCCAAATTTTAAGCTTCTGGATCAGGAGTTTCTCTCGTCAGTGATTATTAACTCGTAAGATTTGTCAGCTCGGTTTAATGAAATCATTCTTCCTCTCTCTTGCCTTCTCTAGGTGAAGCAGAATACAGCGAGTTAACAGCACCCGGCGGGTTGCTTGGGATGCTCCCACAGACTGGAAGGGCTTAATGCGTCTCTGTGGAATGTTTCCCAGATGCACGTGCTGATTTGCTTGCTTGCTCTTTCGCTCGCTCGCTCGCTTACAAGATAGCGCCGGACTGATCCTGGATTTCTCGGAAGACGTGGTTGCTAGATCTTTTATTTTTTTCAAATTTTGAAGCCATTTTCATAGAGTTATGCCTTCATTATGACCCAAGAAGCTTTGGTCTGTCAATTCCAAATGGTTTTCTAACGGGGCTCCTGGAAGAGGGGTGGGTGCCAGATTTAGATTGCCCATTGGCATTTGAAGGTACTTGAAGACGCGTGGGTGCTTTCCGGAAGCCCCCCCCCCCGGGCTGGGGAGAGGGCGTCGCTCACCCACGGCTGCACCAGCACTGCCCAAGCCTGCTCGGCAGGGCTGGCCTGTGTCACCGCGCGCCCGCAGGTACATGGCCGAGCCAGACTGTGGTGGGCCACTGGTGGACCTTCCTCCCCGTGGTCCATTTGTGTCTGACAGTCCTGGGTGGTGTTGATCCAACGTAGGGTGATACTCTTTCTTACAAAAGAACTTCTTTTTCCACTTTCCAAATCTGAAGTGATAATTACCTAGAACGAGAGAAGTCCATAAAAGCTTCTGAATTTCATTTGCCCCCCTGTGCGGACACCGTATAATCCTCGTCCTCCACTCAAAACACACCTACGCACATGTACATGCTGTCTTGCTTTTTGCCCCCACATGGCTTGCAAAAGAAAAAAGAGGGGTGAAGGGGATCTCGTGGAAATCATTTCCCTGTTTTGTAAGTTAAGTTTCCTGGACATAGACCAGCTTGAGCCAGGTCCAAAGCCCGCGGCTGCCCAGTGCACTCTGTAGCTTGTTAACTAACGACGCTCTCAACAGTGGCCTAAGGCTTCCTCAGCTGTTCTGAACCTTCAAATGGCTCCCATGTTGTTACCACGTAACGGGTCGTCGGGGAGAAGATAACACGACTTTAAAAACCAACCACATTTCTCCAGAAAAGAAGAAACTGTTTGCTTTTGTTGCCTAGATACGTGATTTCTGAAGATGAGGGAAGGTGCCTCGTAAAGAAGTGTGTCAGGGATCAAGCCACTGAATCGCTAGCTAAGAGGAAGGAAGTTGAATGGGAGTCATTGTGTTTGAAAACTACAGAACGAACCTACCTAAAATTCAGCAAACGGCTTCTGATTAAGAAAAATGACTTATCTTAAACTTGGTAAAATAGGTTTATTCCTCAAAATGATTAAAAGCGTTATTTTCCTGAAATGTGTTGGATTTATTTTCTTAACCGTAGATGTTAATATTTGTGACGCTTTGTTTCATTGCTGGTGAAACCCTTTTGCGTTTTTATTTTAGCATGCTGTTAAATCAGCCCTTGGCTGTTTCAGAGCTTACGGTGAATAATCTGACTTTTTCCCGCTGGTAAACAGCTCACCGCGTCCTAAAACTTGGGGGGTGGCCAGAATGCAACCTTTGTCAGGGGGCTTTCCTTGTGATAGAATGAAGTTGATGATGGGTATCTGCTTTTCTACCTTTACCCGCACTGTTGTGAGTTTTGTCTCCATCATCTTATATAAAAACATACCCGTATTCAGGTAAGATCCAGTTATCACATAGGAAAGTCAACCGCTTTTTCATAGCAGGTGCCGGAGATCCCTTTACAATTCGATGTGAAGCCGAAGTCCCTGTTATGTTCTGACTGACCACCAGAGGGCGCCGTAGACCACTTTTCTGGAAACGCTGGTTTCTTGTTTCTGGTTTCTTGGAGATGGGGATCAGATCCTTAAGAATGACACCCTGGGCCGGGGTGTGGGTGGACGGCCTTGATGAGAGGACACTGGGGCAAAGGCAGCCTCGTAGGGGCAAGGGGAAAAGCAGAGGCTTGGTCTCATGCTGTTGCTGCTAGGAATTTATCACTCCCTCCGTGTCATTTGCTTAGGGTCCCTTTTTATTCCACCTACAGCAAAAGAGGGACAGCATCGCCCCCTTAACCAGATAAGGGGTGAGTGTATCAAATGGTGACTGGCTTTTTGGCAGAGAGCAAGGCAGGCCGTGATCAAGAAAAGAGAGAATAACTGGGCACCTGGCTGGCTCAGTCGGTTAAGTGTCCGACTTCCGCTCAGGACGTGATCTCACGGTCAGTGATTTCGAGGCCCACATGGGGCTCTGTGCTGACAGCTCAGATCCTAGAGCCTGCTTTGGATTCGGTGTCTCCCTCTCTCTCTGCCCCTCCCTGCTCATACACTGTCTCTCTCTCAAAAATAATAAACATTAAAAAAAATTAAAAACAAAGAAAAGAGAATACGGGGGCCTGGGCAGCTCAGTCGGTTAAACGTCTGACTTCGGCTCAGGTCATGATCTTGCGGTCTGTGAGTTTGAGCCCCATGTTGGGCTCTGTGCTGACAGCTCAGAGCCTGGAACCTGCTACAGATTCTGTGTCTCCCGCTCTCTCTGCCCCTCCCCGCGCGTGCTCTGTCCCTCTCAAAAATTAATAAACTTTAACAAAAAAAAAGAATAAAAGTAGAAAGGGAGTGGGAGCGAAGACTGAGCCCAGATGGCTGCATTTGGCGGATGTTGTCTTGGCTTTGGGTCTGTGCTTAGCAGGTCAAGGCTGTTTGTCTTTACCAGGCCATGGCCGATAATTGGCATTTACTCTGTCTTCTAGTCCAGGCTCAGATTCCTTGGAGGCATGAAATGGGGTGGTGGCAACCCTTTATGAAATGCGGCAGGGCCCAATGAAATCAATGCACAAATAATCTGGCTTGAGGTTGTTAATGTCACGGTTCCCTTCTTAGTAATATTCAGACTGAAGGTCACAAAGTAATCGAAGAGCAGAGCCTACTTTCCTGTAGTGGGGCATGTTTTCAGTTTTAGTAATGAAAAAAAAAACCATTCTCCTTTGTGCAAAGCTGGTAGGTCAATGTTTTTTAAGGGAATTCCAAACTGTCACTTCAGAGCAGCTGCTTTATAAATTTTCATCTGACAGGACCATTATAATGTAAGTCCTTTTTGGAATCAAAGGAGGTGTAAATCAATGAATAAAACTTTATCCTTTTCGTATATATATATGTGTGTATGTATATATATGTGTGTGTGTGTGTGTGTGTGTGTGTGTGTGTATGTGTGTATGCATATCTGTATCTGTGTGGAAACATTTTTTTAAGTTTAAAAATTCATAATCTCACCAGCCAGCATGGCTGCGAATATTTTGATGTGTTTTCTTCCAATTTTTGTGTCCATGAAATATTTAAAAAATTTTTTTTCAACGTTTATTTATTTTTTGGGGGACAGAGAGAGAGCATGAACGGGGGAGGGGCAGAGAGAGAGGGAGACACAGAATCGGAAACAGGCTCCAGGCTCTGAGCCATCAGCCCAGAGCCCGACGCGGGGCTCGAACTCACGGACCGCGAGATCGTGACCTGGCTGAAATCGGACGCTTAACCGACTGCGCCACCCAGGTGCCCCTCCATGAAATATTTAAATGAGATCAAGATCATGCTGTTTAGTGATCATATAGCACACTTTCACTTAATCATAAGCTTGTTATGTTACCAGAAACCATTCATGAGGACAGCTTAGAATGGCTGCAGGATATTTTGTTAGATTGGGGTCCTCCG